TATATAAGGACACATTGAATATGAGTCTCCTGAGTAAAGAAATCTTAAAAAGCATTAAAATGCATTAAAATCATATGGCAATGCAACTCTGAAGGGGAGCGTGTCACAATAAATTAGTGTTGCATCTGTGGAATATTTTTAAATAAATATCTATGCAAGTCTATGGGAATCTACAGCCTGTTTTACAATCCATCAGTCACAAGTCTAAGAGCTTGGTAAAGTAACAGCACACCTCTCCTCAACAAGACAAGAGATTTGGGGAATCATTCAAACGCTTAACTTCAATACTTAGTGTTAGAAGTTTCCAAACTGGCTTCACAAACACTCAAACCAGGCCGTTTAGACTTCCAGATCAGGAAGATACAACATTACCATTCTGCTATCATGTTTAATATCAAAGAAATCTGAAAAATAGAAATAGATTCATCTGTTGATTTCGCTGAATATTGTTTTAAATTCCTGAGATTGCCTGTGAGGATGGTATCGGCCGTGACCGTGGCTTTCTGTGACGCGAGCCGACCCGCAGGTGTCCACAGACAGACTGCTATCAGCCAGCGTCTGTCTCTCTGCAGACGAATCTCTCCAGGGGCCGCGCGCACGCTTGTTGGCTTTATTTTGACTGGGCTCTGAAGACGGCGTGTGTATCAGATTTACTGTATTGATTTGCTGTTGGAGATCTAGGAGCTGAACTCTGTTTGGCTCGGATAGGAGATGGAGCATACAGGCCGCAGAGATAAGCAGAAGCATGAGGTGCAAAAGGCTTTTTAGATAAAAAGGGACGTTCTTGTCCTTCATGCATACTTAAAATCTTTCAATGAAATCACCTTGTTCATCCTTTGCGGCTCATAAATCACAAAATGATCCCTATCTTCTCAATGTCATTTGGACAAACCCTTAACTTTAAGTATTAAACTTTCGTGCACAGCTCGCCTCACACCATTTGTGCTCCAGACATTTACTAGACATTTACTAAAGACTTTTTATGCAATCACCTTACAATGACCTCTCAACTATACCCAGGTAACCAATTAGAACACGAATACCCTAGCAACCACCCAGGACACCCCAGCAACCAATTAGAACACAAAGACCCTAGCAACCACCCAGATCACCCCAGCAACCAATTAGAACACGAATACCATAGCATCCACCCAGGACACCCCAGCAACCAATTAGAACACGAATACCCTAGCATCCACCCAGGACACCCCAGCAACCAATTAGAACACAAAGACCCTAGCAACCACCCAGGACACCCCAGCAACCAATTAGAACACGAATACCCTAGCATTCACCCAGGACACCCCAGCAACCAATTAGAACACAAAGACCCTAGCAACCACCCAGATCACCCCAGCAACCAATTAGAACACAACCACCTTAGCAACCACTTAGAATATCCAGACCACCCTAGCAACAACCCAGATCACCCCAGGAACCTATTAGAAACGGAACAACCTAGCAACCACCTAGGACATCCCAGCAGCCAATTAGAACACGAACACCCTAGCAACCACTCAGAACTCGCCAGCAACCAATTAGAACACCAAAGCTACCCTAGAAACCACCCAGAATACCCTAGCAACCGATTAGAACACAAACTCCCTAGCAACCACTAAGAACATCCCAGCAATCACTTAGAAAACCTAGAACACCATAGAAACCACCCAAAACACCTCAGCAACCAATTAGAACACAACCACCTTAGCAACCACTTAGAATTCTCAGACCACCCTAGCAACCACCCAGATCACCCCAGAAATGGAAATTAAAAATGGAACAACATTAGAAATGGAACAACCTAGCAACCACCTAGGACATCCCAGCAGCCAATTAGAACACGAACACCCTAGCAACCACCCAGAACTCGCCAGCAACCAATTAGAACACCAAAGCTACCCTAGACACCACCCAGAACACCCCAGCAACTGATTAGAACACAAACTCCCTAGCAACCACTAAGAACATCCCAGCAACCACTTAGAAAACCTAGAACACCATAGAAACCACCCAAAGAACAGATGGGAAACAAAACACGGTAGAGGATGCAAGCATCCTGATTCACTATGTAGTGCACACTGATCCAGTGTGCAGTGAGTCTGTGTGTCATTATGTGTCAGAAATGGATTACTCTCAGATTAGAGCGTTCACACACACACACACACACACACACACATACACACACACACACACACACACTCATGCACCTCTCTCTTGCATGGCTTGTGGATAAATCTGTCGCTCTGGATGAGTGCACTGCAAGATGGAGACATCAAACAAGCCTTGTCTTTCTCGTTAAGATTTCATTACATCCAGAGGCGCGCTCTCTCGCTCTCACACACACACACACACACACACACACACACACACACGCACACACCCACACACTTAGCAGCATGAGGACTATGTCGTTAAGTGCAGCTTCCCCATCTGAGAGTTGTCACATCACCAGGGCTGGTTTTAAAAATCCCTTCCTCAGTTCAAGGCATTAACATTAACAACACAAACAACAGCAGGAATATTAGGCTGCTGTCACTTTAAGAGCTAATCCAAGGATCTGTTACACTTGCGTTTTATTTCTCAACTTGTTACGTTCAGTTAAGACACACATGGCTATGTTTACAATGATACTTGCCAAGAGAGGCATTTTGACATCATTTAGTTTGAATATGTCTGTTCAATCACAAGAAGACGTGAAACAGAGATGTTTACACATGAGTTCCCTTTCGCATCTTCTTGCGCTTGAATTTTTAAATTGGCGAGGCTTAAACTATCCTGACGATGCATCATCCAACACTGCACTGTCAACCATCCCGAGCGTCGTTCACGTTTGTTCACATTCTCACAATTTTGCATTGTAAGAATTCATAAAAACGTTACCGTCCAACTGGCGACTGACACCATTTGATATACTCGGCGACACCGAATTTCACTCAGCGATTTGACGCCTTGGCGAGTGTTAATTTTAGGTCCTGGTCACTTAGTGTGTGTTCACACTTGGCATGTTTTGTCTGATTAAAACGAACCATAGTGCGATTGCTTTGTTAGTGCGGTTCATTTGAATGAGTGTGAAAGCTGCCATCTGAACCCTGGTGCCACCAAACAAGACGAGGGATGGGTTTTGGTGGTCCACTTCCAAACAAACTCTGGTGCGGAACGACTGAAATATGAACGCAACACGGACTAAAAACATGTAAATGAACCCAAAAACAGGACGTGATGTCACAAGATGCGACCTAAAAAGGACAGAATGCTCAAGCATTGTCCATCACAGTCGGGTACAGGCGTCAGAACCGCATCTCCTCACGGCAGATCTGTGTTTGTGTGTGTGGGATTCCTGACACTGTTTTGACTACTTTACACATTTTATAAGCTCTTCACGAGTTCTCAGCTGGTCAGAATACCATCATATGTAGCTATGCACATACAACGAGCACATTTAGCCCAGAAAGCAGCATTGTTTTGGATGTTCGAGAAGTTTCGTCTTGATATATTTGTCATAAAAGCCGTCCAATCAGGTTGTGAACGTGTCCCTATGCCTTTAGGATCGGCATCTTTAGGCTTGGTGTTAAAAATCCAAAGTGAACTGAGCAGACCAAGACTAACAGTTCAGACTAAATAAACCAACAAACCAAACTACAAGTGTAAAAGGTCTTCCTTTAGCATCAGCTGTTAAAGCCTTCAAGAAACCTTTATTTTTTTATTGTATTCCTACAGGAACTGTATGTTACCGCAAAATAACCTGGTAAACTGATGCTCCAGTAGCTGTTGTCAGTGCAGCACACAAGGAAACAAATGTCACGAGTGTAATATTTGTTTCACATTTAGTGCTAATGAGGCTTTCATTTTTTAATTCTCTAATCACCCCGGGGCGCATGACTTGAGTCAAATGAGCCCGAACCAAACATTCTGTTCGAAGGCGTTAAGAACCCTCACGGTGAAACACATCAGAGACGGAGAGATGAAACACTAGAACCAAGGGATGTTTATGCTGTCTTTTAGCAACAATAGAAGTTACTGAATATAATTCAAAAGCTACATTTCTTAAATGTTAGAGTTACAAAAGTCTTCATTGATCACTGTGGATTTTCCTCTCATCCTCATGATTAATCAGGCCTTATACAAATGAGAGATATTCACCCACACACACACAAACCAGCAAAACAATTCCTGTCTTCAACCCTGTGAAGCTCTGAATAGCCCCTCTGTCATGACAGGAGTGTATAAACAGAATATATATCAGCTCTTTCCTTACAGTCCACAAAAACCTACTGTGAGGGTACTGTGGTTAAATGATGGTATCTGATACACCTAATGTTCAACTTGAATAAATACCATATATATTTACATGGTCACTCTTAAAAAATAAAGGTTCTTCTAATTAGAATCACTTGTTGTAGTATGATGTCATAATAGAACCTTTGTAAAGTGAGAATTCTTTTAATAACAACAACCTTTAAAATTATCACATTATGCAATATTTCGACTATATTACACAACCGCAGAACAATATTCATACAACAAATATCCGATCAGCTGCCTATTTTCCTACAGTTCACTCTTACACGGTATTTACACGGTACACAATGTACTTCAAGAAATACATGGCAGTGTCCAAATACCACAGTAATACCACAGCACCACGTCCAAAAAAACATCTTTTTTTTTTTTTTTTTGTAAACACCCTCATTGACATAATTATGCAGGCTTTAAAAATATCAATCTGCTATTACATTTACTATATGGTAACCAGTTTCTACCTGTTATTGTTACCACAGTAAAATTGTGGTAAATTGATATGAGTCACCAATGTGAAAAAAAAAACTCAACAAAAATGACCATTTTCTCAATGATCGTGCATTCATTTATAATTTTACAGCAGTAACAAAGCGTATTTGTACTTTGGCTGAAACTATTGATCAGTGCAATATTGCACAGAATATGAATCAAATTCAGCAAATACGAACAGCAGAACATTTTTCTTTTTAATTCTTGGAAGTTACAGCCGGTGTGTGTTTGTGTACCTAACTGTGTGTATGTGGATCTCTGTTTCCTTAGATACCACGACTAAAAAAAAAAAAAAAAAAAAACATTACAGCCTCTCCTTCATAATCAATGACATTTGGATAAACGCATTAATGCATTGACAAGACGCATCAATCACATTCTCTCATAATCGTCAGGTTGTTCATGCACATTATAATATTAGTGATGGTGGATATGGGTGGTGTATTGATGCTGACACACATCCTTCATCATGCATTGGTAACTCACGCTCTTTTTGCGCAGGTTCAGTCCGTGTTTTAATAATCCGGGCAGATCTCTGATCTTCTGCTTGATCTGGACCTGATCCCTGGCGGTTCTGTTCCATCTCCAGCTCGACAGGAGCCCGTCCTCCGCGGGACAGGGGAGGCTGTCGGATTCCTCCATCATCCTCCTCCTCCTCCACCTGCTCTTTACGCACACGGACGCCGGAACGACATTCTGCACGACAGCCGCTCGATGGATCTCCAGCCGCCGCAATGAGCCGCTCAACCGAGAGAGGAGACGAGAGACCTGCCGAACACTGCTGCTCCACCCAGCGATCACACACACACACGCTCGCGCACACACACTCGCGCACACACGCACACACACGTTCTGGATACACTCACACACAAATGCACTCACATCGCTGGTTAAACGAGGACATTCAAAAACACATTTGCATTCATATGAAACATGCACCTAAAAGAAAACTTGGACTAAAATGCAGTAGGCCATATTTACTTCACGTGAGAATCATGGGAACATGCCTAAAGGCAGGTTGCATCAACTTCTGAGGATAATATCTTAAGTAAACACGCGTTATGAGGACATAACTGAGAATTTAGGTAACAAGTGCCACTTTTGAAATACACACACTAACAGCATTAAACTGTATTTTTCCAAACTGCTGTCTTAAACATTCTGTCTTATGTCACCAAAATCAAGCCTTTAAGACAGACATTGGCAATGTGTGGCTTTCCAAATGGTCAGGAGTTGTACTTTTATTTTAAATAGTAATTTTATGCCTTATTTTAACTGATAATAAAATGAAGGCATGTGAGTGTCTCTACGTTGTGTTATTGATAATAAAATATTCTAAATATGAACCATCATTGCTTTCAACATCCCAGTGATTCTACATCACATTGACGTCAAAACCAATCCATGACATTGATTTGATGTTAACTGAATGTCAAACATATTGACCTGCATATACATAAACCAATTTCAGTGTGGGTATTAACTTTTTCTTTTCACCTAATTACCACTGGAAGACATTGCCTTTCAAACTAACCTTAAAATGATATGCAGTCTCTTGATCAAGTCTTGACTAACTTTTGACGTCAAATTTATATCAACGAGCCCGCTGGGATATATTTGAGAAATAATCAAAAGAACCATAAACATATAGCCTAAGGTCATAAATTGGGCCATGCATTTCAGCTGATGTTGGAGATAAAAGTCTTTTTCATAAATGAATGAGATTTTGCAAATCTCAACATTTTCCCCATCATCACAATATCATTCATGATATATTATACATTTAAATGTTAAATACTTACACCTTAGCATTTAAAAAATAATTGGCATGTCAGGGAGTTTGTCCTGCCCACCAATCAAATCATCCCATGCATGTCAAGAATTTTTAATACAGAATGACAACTCAATCATACATGACATCACTCATGAGTTGCATTGTTTTCATGCTAATTGACTAATAACAATTAACAATATTAAAAAGTTATTTAGTAATGAAAAAAAAAATTTGTTTATCCATTGCTCATTTTTTTTCCCAACTGAAAAAAGGAGGGTTTTTTTCCAATTTAACTTTGAGGGACATTTTTGTAAAATATAAAACACCCACATTTACACGTGTAACCATGGTGTTTATTTCAGTAAAAGATAAATGGGCCAAATATTGCCTTCATTAAAATGTAAAAATACTGAAGATGAATATGCACTAAAAAGAGCACACGTACTGGAAACATGTCACATCTTTTATTGCACCGATATGAAACTTTAGCACTAAAGATCCATTGATCAGTGTGTCATTGTAATGAATATTATTTTGTGCTGGTATTTACTGATTTGGTGGCCTCAAATAGTCCCCATTAACATAATTCTTACCCTGAGACAGTCGAGCCAAAACGATTTTCCCAGCTGGTCCAGATCAATGAGACGCTCAGAATCATTTAACCTCTTCTGACTGGCCCACAGTAAACACCAGACTCCCAATCACACGTGTTAACAATCGCTGAGAATTTATTGCATTTGTATCATCTCTAATCTTTAGATCCAAGTTATAAATCCAGGGTTAGCAATTCAATTAAACAATACAGATTTCAGCAGAGATTACAAGTATTATTTTGTAAGGCTTATTGTTTTGTGTTTCTTTAACTGAAATCTTCTAAACGATCAGTTTTATATTTTAATAAACATTAATTTTGCACCAAATTGACTGTATTATTGCACATTCAAAAGGGACAGTTTCGCCCTTAGCATCTAAAGGACAGAGTCTTCTATGACCCATTTGTCTGAATAAATGAATCAGTGTGAAATCAATATCAATGTTCAGAAGTTCACGTCAATAGATCTGATTTGATTTTCAGGTCTGTGCTGTTTCTTGAGACGGTACATTACGGCGTGTTAAAGTATTGATCAGGTTGTTTGTCTCTTCAGACTGGCGTTCATATAGTCCCTGATCCTATACAAAACACTAGAGGCCAGATTCACCAACAGCTTGCGCCAATGCAAACCCTCATTTGGTGTTAAAATAACTTCTGTCAGGATTTACTTGAGCGCTGAAAAGGTGTTATTTTAGCGGCTGGAGTTATTGCATATGCATTTGTAGGAGTTTCCCTTTCAGACGCAATATTTATGGAAGGAGAGTATTTAAATGTGATTAACTAAGGTTTGCGCTGGTCAATATTTCCACTATTATTTACCGGCCAGAAAAGCATGTATTAAACCAGGTGCTAATTTGTAGACTGTGTTGGTCATTATGGAAATGATCCAGCTGCGTCTGTTCTTTAATTTGCACGTCGTCAGTAAATCACCAGCAGAATTTCCCACTTCCATCTGAGCTTTTTTGGACTTGCGTTTTCATGCTAATTTTCCCTGTTTAGTAAATCTGTTTTTCCTGGATTGTGTGATGAAGTTATTGCTATAGTTTGATAGATATTGTTTTGTCATTACAAATAATTATTTGGATGTTGAAGCCATTTTTTCCGTCGAGGTCAGATCAGACCGTTTTTTTTTCGGGTGCTTTGGCATGTATTTGATGACGGACACCCGGGGTTGTTCATTAACACCCACAGCCAGCATGACGGGTTGGCATGCGTCCTCGCTGCTCACAAATGCATGATGGGCCAGAAACAGCGCCACCCCCTTCAGCCAGATACAATCTTCAGGACGCTTTCAGAATAAGCAAACCTTAAATCCACAAGCACAACTTTGGAAAAAAAGCCGTCGTCTAATCTAAGATTAGGCTCGGCAGCAAAGCAGAGGCCTGTTCCTCACTGTCGATGGTATGAAGACTTTAAAAGCCAATGGTCGTGCTCGGCAAACCAGTATCTCCACATCTCGCATGAAAGAATAGCTGATGATCTGTCAAAATGAAAGATCACCTCTATACGGCTGAATGGAGCATATGCCTGGAGGACACGTGTGTGTGTGTGTGTCCCAGTGGAGTTCATTGGGGGGTGATGTGTGTGTTGTGGGTGTGTCTCTCTGTGCTCTAATTTCAGGTGTAACACAGAGGTGTTAGATGACAAGAAACCCACATGGGAAGATGGGCAGCACATTCAAAGCAGGAGTTCAGTCTCGAAGGTCTGCAGAGAGAGACAATGATTAAGAATCTGATGACATGGATGTAAAAAGCAAACAAACAAAAAACTCTAAGGAATATGTACAGGATTCCGATTCCAAAACTCTGTACAGGATTCCGATTCCACTGGAAATTCTATGAGAATTTGAAACATGAATAAAAAGGAAATCTGGAATAAATTGGAAAAAGAATTGTTACCGTTGGGATACATGGAGATGCTCTGGATGTTGAACTTGATCTCCAGCTTTTGATCTCCAGACAAAAAGCCTCATCAAAAGTGTTTGCCACAATCCACTGCAATGGATTTTATAGGGTTATTATAGACAACTAAAACCTTTTTTTTTTTTAATTAATAAAATAACATTAACGAAAAGTAATAGTTTATACAATATATATATATAAAAAAAAAATCTTTAAGTTTTATTTTCAGCTAGTTGCATTTTTATTCAGTTCAACTTAATGTACAAAAATAGCTAAAACTAAAACTGAAATAAAAATTAATTTATAAAACTAGACATTCAAAAACAAAAACTAACTAATACAAATGACAAAATTACTAAAACGTTAAAATTAAAATGGAAAATTTAAAAACAGAAACTCAAACTATTAATAAAACTTAATTACTAATTATAAGAAATATAATAACATAACTATACTATATACTAAATATAACACTGGATCTGCCTCCATTATGGTTTAAAACTCATAATTTGTGACCTAAAAGGTCCTAATGGGAATAAAAGTGATATTATATATATTAAATATATTATATTTTCATATTAAAATATAATTATTATGTTTTTATATTACAATATTTATATTCAACTATATTACGGGTGTAAAATCGATTAATCGCATCTAACAGAAAAGTTTACATAATATATGTGTGTATATATATATTATATTTATATATATCATATATATATATGTGCATGTGTGTGGGTGCACTGTATACACACACACACACAGATATATATTTATACATATATACTGTGTATATATATATATATATATATGTGTGTGTGTGTGTGTGCATATATATACACAGACACACACACACACACACACACACACACACACACAGAGAAATATATATAATATAGGCTATATAAATATAATATTATATACACACATTTATTATGTGGGCTAAACGCAGACTTTTATGTTAGATACGATTAATCGATTTTACAGCCCTAAAATATATACTTTTAATATTTCTCCTACAATATATCCTATTATAGAATCATTTTATAGGATTTGCATTTGATTCCATTAGGATTCTTTGGGAAACAATCATTTTTGCAATTCTGTTTGTGGTACAAATTACACACTTCACTTTTTGATGGCACGTGCGCATCTAATCAAGAACGTATTTGTTAACAAAATCAATGTCCCTTATGGGAGATTAATCTGCATGTTATTCTGTTGTTATGGTCTACCATTCAGACATTCAGAGTCTATTCTTAGAAAGGTTTATGATGATTAAAAACACTCTGTGAATATTCTGTGTAATCCCTCCGTTGAAGTATTTACACATCTCCTCAGCACTGATATCATGTGATCTAATGACACGAGCTCAGAGTGTGTGATGGCAGGGCCATTTAAAGCCACGCTGTTACACGGTGTGTGTTCAGAGTCCTGATGGGAGGAGACCGCTGCGATCTACACTGTAAAACATCATCACAAATTACTGTAAATGGAAAAATGCTGAAGTATTGGTTAACTGTACGTTACCTTACCATATGACAAATGGACC